GTCTTGGCCCAAAAAGCGGGTTTTTAAAGAGCAATAAAAAGGGGTGTTTTGCAAGTTTCATGGATTAAAGACATATTTCTCAAAAAAATAAATGATGAAAAAGAAAATGGGCTCTTTTAATTTTACCTTTATTGTTGGAAGTATTACAAAAGTCCCCTTTTTTCCACCATTGACCACCTCCTTCTCCCAACTCCCATTCCTCCCACCATTGTCCATGGGCTATCGTAGGTGCATGTAGGTTCTGTGGCTGGTCTCTTCCCTCCCCTTCATCGCCTTCCCTCAGAGGGTCTCCAGTCTGTTCATGTTTCCGTGTCTCTGGATCTACTTTGTCCATCAGTTTATTTTGCTCATTAGATTCCACATATGAGTGAGGTCATGTGATACTTGTCTGTCTCTGGCTGGCTTATTTCTCTCAGCATAATACTCTCCAGGCCCCTCCATGCTGCCCCAAAGGGTAAGAGATCCTTCTTTTTTATAGCTGCGTAGTATTCCATGGTGTAGATGTACCACAGCTTCTTTATCCACTCATCTACTGATGGGCACTTGGGCTGTTTCCAGATCTTAGCTATTGTAAATTGTGCTGCTATGAGCATAGGGGTACATACATTCATTCTGATTGGTGTTTCTCGTTTCTTAGGATTTATTCCTGGAAGTGGGATCACTGGGTCAAATGGCAGTTCCATATTTAATTTTTTGAGGAAACTCCATCCTGTTCTCCACAGTGTCTGCCCCAGTCTGCATTCCCACCAGCAGTGCATGAGGGCTCCCTTTTCTCCGCATCCTCGCCAGCACTTGTCGTTTGTGGGTTTGTTGACGGTAGTCATTCTGACAGGTGTGAGGTGGGATCTCATTGTTGTTTTAATTTGCATCTCTCTGGTGATCAATGCCTTTGGGCATTTTTTTCATATGTCTCTTGGTTGTCTGTATGTCCAGTTTGGAGAAATGTCTACTTAGGTCTTCTGCCCATTTTTTGATTGGATTGTTTGTCTTCCTTTTGCTGAGTTGCATGAGTACTTAGATGCTTTGGAAATTAACCCCTTATCAGATGTATTATTGGCAAATATGGTCTCCCCTACAGTAGGCTCCATCAGGTGTATTAGTGGAAAATATGTTCTCCCATACAGTGGGTCCCCTTTTAATTTTGATGCTGATTTCTTTTGCTGTGCAGAAGCTTCTTATTTTGATGTGGTCCCATTTGTTTATTTTTTCCTTTGTTTCTCTTGCACTGGGCATTGTATCAGTGAAAATTTTGCTACATAACAGTCTGATATTTTACTGACTGTGTTTTCTTCAAGAATTTTTATGGTTTTGTGACTTACTTTAAATAGTTTATCCATTTTGGGCGTATTCTTGTGTATCATGTAAGTTGATGGTCTGGTTTCATTTTTTTACATGTATCTGTCCAATTATCCCAACACCATTTATTGAAGAGACTGTCTTGACTCCATTGTATGCTCTTGACTCTTTTGTTAAATATTAATTGAGCATAATGGCTTGGATTGATTTCTGGGCTCTCTGTTCTGTTCCATGGATCTATATGCCTAACCTTGTGCCAGTACCAAGCTGTTCTGCTTACAGTGGCTTTAGAGTATAACTTGATATCTGGTATTGTGATCCCTCCAACTTTGTTCTTATTTCTCAAGATTGCTGCAGCTCTGTGGGGCCTTTTTGGCTCCATATCAATTTTTGGAGAGTTTGCTCTAGATCTGTAAAATATGCTATTGGCATTTTAGTAGGGATTCCATTGAATCTATAGACTGCTTTGGGTAGTATAGATATTTTGATGATGTTAATTCTACCAATCCATGAGCATGGTATATTCTTAACTTGCTTATGCCTTCCTGTATCTCTTTTTTCAACGTTCTATATTTTTCCGAGTACAGGTCTTTTACCTCCTTCATTAAGTTTATTCCTAAGTATCTTAATTTTTTTGTTGCAATTTTAAAAAATATTTTTATTGATTTCAGAGAGCAAGGGCGAGGGAGAGAGAGATAGAAACATCAATGATGAGAGAGAATTATAATTTGCATCTCTCTGATGATTAGTGACATTGAGCCTCCTGCACAGTGCCCACTGGGGATTGAGCCCAAAACACAGGCATGTGCCCTGACTGGGAATCCTCCTGGTTCATAGATCGAAGCTCAACCACTGAGCCCCATTGGTCAGGCTTTTGTTGATGATGTTGTTGTTAATCCTCACCATGTTAATCCTCAATGATTTTCCATTGATTTTTTTTTAAACAGTATAGGTAGTGACTTTATTTTTTAAATTATTTTGAATCAAAATGTCTTTTTATTATTATTATTCCTTATTTTTTAAAGCAGCGGTCGCCAACCTTTCAGATCTCATGGACCACTGGTTGGCAACCGCTGGTTTAAAATATTACATATAATATTACATATGTCTCCTTTTCCCCCATTTCCATTGATATTTTTAGAGAGAATGTGAGAGGGAGAGACAGAGAGAGAGAAACATCAATGTGAGAGAGACACATCGATTGGTTGCCTCCTGCATGCGCCCTGACCTGGGCTGAGACCACACCTGCAAGCGAGGCATGTGCTTTGACCAGAATCAAACCATGACCCATTAGTCTGCAGGCCAATGCTCTAACCTAACCACTGAGCAAACTGGCTAGGATGCCATTTTAAATGGGATTATTTTTTTAATTTATCTTTCTGAGAATTCATTATTGGTGTATAAAAATGCCAATGATGTCTGGGTGTTGATTTTGTATCCTGCTACTTTACCAAAATCACTTCTTAAATCTGGTAGTTTTTTTGGTGGAGTCTTTAGGGTTTTCTAGGTACAATATCATGTCACCTGAGAATAATGACAGTTTTATACCCTCCTTTCCCATTTGGATGCCTTTTATTTCTTCTTCTTGTCTGATCGCTGTGGCTAGGACTTCCAATACAATGTTGAACAGGAGTGGTGCGTGGATATTGGCCTGTCATCCTCTTTCTTTGTAGTTTTTTATCTGGTTTTGGAATTAGGGTAATGCTGGCTTCGTGAAAAGAGTTAGGAAGTGTTCTTCCTCTTAGATTTTTTGGAATAGTTTGAGGAGGATCGTGTTAGTTCTTCTTTGAATATTTGGTAAAACTCCCCTGTGAAGCTGCTGGACCAGGGCTTTTGTTTGCTGGGAGTTTTTTTTTTATTATTATTACTGCTTCAATTTCATCAGTTGTTATTGGCCCATTCGGGTTTTCTGATTCCTCCTGATTCCGTTTTGGGGGTTGTATTTTCCTAGGAATGTGTCCATTTCATCCACACTGTCAGCTGGGTACCATATAGTTGTTCATAGTGTTGGCTTCCAGTCCTTTGTATTTCTGTGGTGTCCGCTGTTATTTCATCTCTTTTGCTCAGATTTTATTTATTTGGGTCCTGCTCTGTGTTTCTTGATGAGTCTGGCTAATGGTTCATCAATCTTGTTTTATCTCTTTAAAGAATCCGGTCTTGGTTTCATTGGTCTTTTGTGTTGCTTTTTAAGTCTCTATGTCATTTATTTCTGCTCTGATCCTTATTATGTCCTTCCTTCTACTTACACTGGGTTCTTGTTGCTCTCTTTCTGGTTCTTTAAGTTGTAGGCTTAGTTCAGTAGCAATTTTTCTTATTTGTTGAAGTAGGCCTGTAGTGCTGTGAACTTCCCTCTCAGGACTGCTTTCACTGTGTCCCACAAGTTTTGGGTTGTAACTAAATTAATAATTAAAAACAAGCCAGCCCAGCCAATGTGGCTCAGAGGTTGAGCATTGACCTATGAACCAGGAGGTCACAGTTCAATTCCTGGCCAGGGCACAAGCTCAGGTTTTGGGGCCTGATGCCCAATAAGGGGTGTGCAGGTAGCAGCTGATCGATTATTCTCTATCATCATTGATATTTCTATCTCTATCTCCTCTCCTTTCCTTTCTATGAAAAATCAATAAAAACATTTAATAAAGAGAAATGTTTAAAAAAAAAAAACCCAAAAGACACACGCAAGCCATACGTGCACAAAGGGGAAAGTCATTTTTTTTAACTTGGCTCCTTTAAGTCCCTGCCTTCGCTGGGGACAACCAACCCTCCTCGGTGAACCGTCAGTAGGTCCGCTCCGCTTGGTGAAGGGCAGTGACAGGACGGCCCGCTGCCCAGCCCTGGGGAAAGGGGACCATTCAGACCGTGCCGGGAGCACCCTGGTTCCCGCGAGGGAGGGAGACTGCACACCCCGCAGCCCCTCAGCGAAGCAGACCTCACGTTCACCGTTAATCGGAGCTGATTTGTAAACAGCACCTCCTCCCCCTCCCCCCTCGCCCCCTTGGCCAGGCTCCCGCTCTGTTCGGTGGCACAGATGCAGCTTTGAGCGGACTGGCCGGCCAGGGAGGGAAATTAATGAAGGGGCGCGTCATAAAAGAGCTCGGCCGGCCTGGCTACCTCACTCCAGCAGTAATTAACTTCTTTTTCTTTCTCTCTTTTTTTTTAGCTCATGAAGGTAAATATGCCCGTGGCACTGGCCCAGTCTAGCTCTTCTTTATTAAAAAGGGGCCAGCAGAGGGGTTCATGGGGAGCCGAGGCTTAATCTGTTTTCCCCCAAGAAGAGCAATTTTAAATCACTCGTGTGATGTGTGTGCAGACTGACGATGCCCGGATCACACACTCCTCGGGCGGAGGGAGGCCGGGGGCAGATGAGGGACGGTCCCCGACGGACAGACACGGTCGTTCTCCACCTGAAAGCAGCTTAAAGGGTCTCTTAAGGGTTTTTAAAAGTTTGCTCTTCTCCCTCCGGCCCCCCACGATGAGCTCCTGTTGTGCACAGTGCACGGCGCACGGCCGCGGGTTCCGCTGCACAGGAGCCTCCCGTGCCCGTGTCCGTGGGACAGGGACAGCCCCACCGCCTCTCGCCGCCAGCTTCCCAGGTTAGAGACACGGTGACAAAGGCAACTGAGGATGTGGTGTTGCCATCTCTTGTTGACACGGAAAAAAGGGGGACAGGGACACGGCCTGCCTTCAAAGTAAAAGCACCTGCCCTGGCCTGTGTGGCTCAGGGGGCAGAGCGTTGGCCTGCAGACTGAAAGGTCCCGGGTTCGATTCCCGGTCAGGGCACACACCCAGGTTGCGGACTCAATCCCCAGTGGGGGGCATGCAGGAGGCAGCCAATCAATGATACACTCTCATTGATATTTCTATTTCTCCCTCTCCCTTCCTCTCTGAAATCAATAAAATATATTAAAACAAAACAAAACACCCACCTGTTAGTATGTGAGGTACGTGAGACAGTCAAATTCATAGGCACAGAAGCACCATAGTTGCCAAGGGCTGGGGGAGGGGACAGGGTCATTGTTTTATGGGCACAGAGTGTCCGTTTTGCAGATGGGAAGTTCCGGAGATTGTGAATACGCCTGGACGTAAACTTAAAAATAATGAATGATGACTTCTTTTTTAAAAAGTTTATTTTATTGATCTTTTACAGAGAAGAAGGGAGAGGGAGAGAGAGTTGGAAACATCAATCAGCTGCCTCCTGCACGCCCCCTGCAACCAAGGTACCTGCCCTTGACCGGAATCGAACCTGGGACCCTTCAGTCCACAGGCCGACGCTCCATCCACTGAGGCAAACCGGTCAGGGCGAATGATGACTTCTTACAAATCACTTTAGGATGGCAATAGACTTCGAGCGTGAAACCTGTGTTTCATGCCAAAACATAAAAATGGTGTGTACGGCCAAATCTTCAATCTGTTCAGAGGTGAAGCACTAAGTTTTAGTCAGTTCTAAGACTTTTTCCGCTACAAATACGTTGTACAATCCTCAGATAAATACGCATCCATATTCATTTGAGTGTAACCTTATGCACTTACAGTCATCAAATCTCAGTAGCTTTTATTTTTTTATTAATTTTTCTGTTTTTAGAGAGAGGAAGGGAGAGGGAGGGAGAGCGAGACACTGATGAGCAGATCATCGATCGGCTGCCTCCTGCACTGCTGGTGATGGAGCCCAAAACCTGGGCACGTGCCCTGACTGGGAACCAGACTGGTGACCTCTTGGTTCCTGGGTTGACGCTCTAACCACTGAGCCACGCCAATGGGGCTCTCAGTGGCTTTTAACTCACACGTTTTCCCCCCTCGGGCGGCTCCACGGTGAGCTGGGTGTCCCCCGGGAACACTGCTCCTCACAGTGTCACTCAGAAGCCCACGCTGCTTTGATGCTTTGACTGAGGGGCTGGGCGTGCCCAGTGGGATGAGAGCCTCAGACACTGGTGAGACTGGGACCTCACACAGGCAGGTGCGATGAGATTCGGTGACCGCTGTGAGGAGGAGCCGCCGGGAATGTGCCCATGGGAACGATGAAGCATGTCTCCTGGGACACACACGCGTGTTGCCTTCTGTGGGGGGTGCTGTCAGGACAAGGCATGCTCTACTCCCACATGGACGCGTAGCTGACGGACAGCCGCCCACAGCCGCCAGCGATAGAGATTCAGGGGGACACAGTGAGGGTCCTCTGGGGGGGACCAGTCCTGCCATGTTCAGTTTTGCTCAGAGACTCCTAAGCCTTCCAACGTGCTGACAGAGCTTCTAAAATCCCAAGCAGGCCGTCAACGCAGAAGCTCACAGACACTGCACAGGGAGCCACAGACACTGCACAGGGAGCCACAGACACTGCACACCAGGAACCACCAGAGGCAGGAGTGCCCAGGAACAGACTCTCCCCTCGGGCCTTTGGAGGGAGCATGCCTCTAGCCACAGACACTGCACAGGGAGCCGCAGACACTACACAGGGAGCCACAGACACTGCACAGGGAGCTCCCAGACACTGCACAGGGAGCCGCAGACACTGCACAGGGAGCCCGCAAATACTGCACATGGAGCTACAGACACTGCACAGAGAGCCCACAAATACTGCACATGGAGCTGCAGACACGACTGAAAGGGAGGAGGCCCCTGTGCACGGGAATTGGGCTTTATTGCCAGCTGCTGCCATGGGAACCGCCCTGGAAGGTCCGTGTCTTTTCTGCTCAGATCTCAGGGCTTTTCCTCCTTCATTTCCCTCAAATAAACTCGGTGAGAGTTGCTGGCTCTTAGGATCCCCCCAGCACCGCTCCCCCCCCCAGGTCCCTGGGAAGCAGGAGGCGGAGGGGGTGGCTGGGAACCCTGGGAAGGAGGAGGAAGAAGACCCTGGAGACACAGGGGGCCTGAACCACCAGGACTGGGAGGCCCTTGTCCCTGAGCCTGAGCCTCTGGAGGGCCGGCTGCCGCCTGGGATGTGTGTCCTTTGAAGCAACTTTAACGTTTTGTCTCTTGGGCCCTGGAATTCGCGTTCCCTGCAGTGACCACAGGAAACAGGAATCCAACCAACACAACCGGAAAGTATGCTTGGGGGGGGGTGTCCTGGACCCCAAGTCGTTCTGTTCTTAAGGAACGTGATGGTTGGGAGACGCTGGACGCAGAGAACCGAGCGGTACAGTTACAGCCTCGGCGGTGACAGCGCAGGTGAGTGACGACCCCGGGAGCCCTGTGTGCGCGGGGGCGGGCGGCCAGGTGTGCGGGAGACGGCGGGTACCTGCGTGGACGGCCTCGGGAGGAAGGCGGAGGGGGAGGAGGAGGGAGAAAGGAGGGGAGGAGGGGGAGCCGCCGCCTCTCCGTCCTCCTGGCAGATTAGCGAGGAGCTGGCACCTGTCTGGCCCTCTGCCCCGTCCGTCCGCGGATTCGATGCCCAACGTCCTGGCTGAGGAGCCCCCAGCGCCGGGGGCTGTGGGAGCAGGTGTGGGGCCCACCAGGGCCCTGCCGCGCCTCCCCTTCCCAAGGACCCAGCACCGCAGGGACCACAGCCCTTCGCTGCTGCAGCGCGCACCCCTCACCGCCCCCGACGCCCGATGTCCCGCTCTGGCCCCAGATGACCGGGCCGCTCCTGTCCTATCCGGGACCCTGAACCCGCGGAGGGGCGTCCCTGGGACCTGGACCCCCCTGCGGACCAGACAGAGCAGCCGCGCACCTCGGGAGCCGACACGACACGACAACCCTGTCCGCTGGGAGGACCCAACCCGGAGAGGAGCTGGTGGGGCCAGGGGACGTCGCCTCCGGGCAGCCCCCCGGGATGCGCACCCGCCGGCCTCGGCAGGACGCGGAGCTCCGGGAGGGAGGGGACAGCCGCTTTGGGGAACTTTCCTTGCGTTTAATCATTAACGAGGGTCCTGGAAGGAAAACAGCGACCCTGGCGCTCCACAGTCCGCCCTGTGCCCGCCGGAGCCTCGATGGTGCGGGCACCCACTTTTTAAGACTAAAGTGGGGGGACTGCTTCTCACACATGCGCCCCCGCGGGCGGGAGACCTCGGACCCTCCGCTCACGGTTTCCTTACAAGACTCGGACACCGAACCTTCAGGCTCCCCAGCCCCGCGTGG